CTCCTGTTTAAAAATATAAATATGTTTCAGTAAGTAAATATATTTGATAAAAATGGAGTTTTTTTGCTTTTTTTTATTAAGCGGAGATTATCTGGGATGAGTCACAATTCCTTTATGGGCCATCATAACCTCTGCCAATTAATTACAGGAGATACCGAGAAAAAGAAGTAAAAGCGAAGAGCTCAGAAGGAGAACATAAGATTGAAAGGATTTGATTCAGACAGCTTGTGGGATCTAGTGCAGTTTTCAACAATGGCTGCATAAGCTGTGTCATTTGTATAGCATGTATTTTTCTTTTTTAATATTCTTTTAAAGAACATAAGCATTATGCAAGTGCTTGTGTTTTCTTGATTTTAAGCGTATGTAGTCTCTTGTTGACCATTAAATTGTGTGTTTTAACAATTTAACATAAGGTCAGATTTTATTTAATTTGTATTTCTTTTTATAATCTATCACAAGTATCATTTCTAAAATTAATTCCCCTAATTGTCTTTCCCACTGTGGTGTATACTCGTGCAGTCTTTTATTTTAATGTAAGACATAGTCATCTGCCTTCTACTGCCGAAGAGAAGGCACAAAACTAGGGGAAGTTGAGACAGAATTGGGCAAATCTGTTCTTAAAACTGAAAGTCCTGCTTTCCTTTTCTGTTTTTGCTTTCTTATAGGCCTTTCAGATCATCTGAAGTTCAAGTGTACTCCTTGCTAGCTTTCTGTAGGCCTCATTAACCTGGTTAGTGACAGACTCTTCAGACCCTTCTGCTACCAGGGGTCTGAGCAGTTTGTGGTAGGTTATCTGTGCATAGCCTTGAATGTTTTAGAGGGATGTTTCTGTTTTTAATTAAGAATTAAAAAGGGGGGGGGAGGGTGCGCATGAGGAATTTCTAGTATCGTATTACCTACCATGGTTTTAAAGGTGTCCATGCTACTAGAAATGCAGCGCCTTCTTGCGTTGCATCCTTTAGAGTCAGCTGAATCGATCATTCAGAGTCACTACAAAGAGTGTGTTCAGTTAAAATGGAATTTTTAATGTCTCTGCTCTTTTGCTGTGGTACTACAACAAGGTGACAGGCTTAACTGTAACCTTGGTGACTTCATCTCAGCTAGCTTTTGGTTCTTATAAAATGAAATGTCTACCTTTTAACACAGACCATGCCCTGTTTCTGTTGCATATGACTGCTTCCTCTCCATGCTCTCTCTTAGCCTTGGAAAGAGAAGAGAATACAGAGGAAAACCAGTGCTCCTAGTATAAATGTATACACGTGTATATTTTTATACAGCTATGTTTATTTTTAAGCATATTAATATTATATATTAATATAACAAAATTAATTATTAAGTCAGTTCAATCCCTTGCTTCAAGATCATGCTTTATTGTAGTAAGGAGCTATCAGTTTGTGGGTTTTTTTTTGGTGGTTTGAGTTTAACTTTTATTTTTAGAGAACTGTAAGGAAAGAATTAGAGATAGGATAAGTTATCATGTCAAAGTGGAAAGCTGTGTGGAAACTATTTAGAGCAACTACCTTGATTTACTACATAGTAGATAGTATACCTTACAGGTCTTTAACTTAAAATGGACTCTTCTCTTTTAGAAGAATAACAATGTATTGAAAATAAGTTTTAAAATGTTTTATTGTTATCTGTGTTTCTGTTACTCGGTGTTCATCTACTTAGGATTTTTCTAGGCATGCTAGTGGGCAAACCATATATAGATTTCAATCCCCTTGATTGTAAAGACGTACACACCAGTTAAATACAGCTGCTTCCCAGAAGGTACAATTTTAGACATTGTGCAATCTTGTTGAAACCAGTGGGACTACTTATCAACATGTGATGTGAAGTGTGTACACAACCCTTGCAGAATCAGCATGTATTTGATGATGTTTTCAACTCAGGAATGCTTTAGAAAATATTTCTGATACAGTTGACTGTGACCATTGTCAGAAATGCTCATGCATTCTTGCTGCTAAAATGTAGATTTTAGACCTTTGAATCTCAGCTTTTCTTTTCCAAAAAGAAGTTTTAATAACTGTGTTGTCAAAGAAATGAAGTAATGCTTAAAACTTCCTTGAAACACAGGTGTTTGTAGAATATAGAGCGGTGCATCTATATTCTCTATAATAAGATGATGTAAATCAGGGAAAAAAGATGAGGTATAAAAAGATGAAAGAGTGGGAAGTTTAAGGTAGGATAAAGCTAGTCTTTTTGGGGGTGGGGGATGGTAAATATACTTGTCATCTGCCCTTCAACACTTACGTATTTTCCATTTTTACTCCTTCATTAATCTTCCATTTCCTTTATCCTTGGTGCTACATTTTAGATCCCCACATTCAGCCTTAAAAGTACACATGCTTGCTGCTGCCTCTGTTGCTACCTTTTAATCTCACCTAGTTCACAATAAATGGAAGCAATGTGCATTTAAAATGCCATATGAAAAGTGAATTTTGAATAGTTCTTTCTTAAAGACTATAAATAACACTGTGGAACATTCACTTTATTTTTACTACTTGTACTGTGAAATGCAGGCGATTGTAAAGAGGCCATTGTAGAAAGAAATGTTTCAGAAATACACAGCGTGTTTAAGAATAGAAAGTCAATTCTCCTTGATCACATTAATATGTTTTGTTAAAAGCAATTATGTTGCAAGGATCCAGCTGTCCAAAACAGTACCTTATAATGTTAGATTAATTAGCATCATAAAAATGTAAACCAGTCTTTAAAGATACATTATTATGTCATGTTACTGAAATTCAGTTCATGTTGAATATGATATCTGATCTACTGTCATCTACTCTTTACTGCCAAGAACTCAATTTCTGTAGCAGCTCTTCTCATCTTTTAATACTAATAGTATTAAACACTCATGTGCTGTTTCTCACCCTTCTTTTGTCTATCATTAGAAAGAGTTAAACATTCAGTCTGTTTTGAAATAACATGCTGTTCGTGCAAATATCCTAGAATGTACTTAATGGGCCATCCGTAATGCTAGCTGTTTCGTCTAAAAACTTAGAACTAGTTGTCTGAGAAAGGAGTTTGGGGACAGATGAAGTCATCTAAATGCTAGATTTGCTAGATTGCTAAATATTTTTGATCCCTAAAGGGACATAAGACATCCTAACCTTTTACCTTTTCCTGTTCTTCTCCCTTCTCTTTTCATCCGTATGATTTAAATAGTGAAGATAATCATATTTCATGTCAGCAAATATAGGTGGAATTTAGGGATATTACAAGTGGGTAATTGATATCTGCCGTGTGACATTGCAGTACAGGGAAGTATTTTAAATGGAGAGACCTCAGAAAGGTTTTTTCTCTATCTAAAATGATCTAGTATGCGGTGTTTTCAGATATACCCTGGAGAAAGAAGTAAACTTTTCAACACTAAATATTTTAAAGTCACAAATTACGTAGGCAACTCAATAAATGCATCAGTAATCTGTTTTCCACCCTCTTTTGAAAAACTTTTCCTTGATGTATCAGAGTCACTCTGAGAAGATGGGAATACAATCTTTAATCTTTTAAAGTAGCTGTAGAACTAAGGAAAACTTAGTCCATGTTTGAAGTCTTAGAACTACTTGGGCTTAAACAAAAATGTTAACTTTTAATGCTGTGTATCTTCAGCTGAATTATAAAATGTAACTGAAGTGTTTGATATCCCAGAAGTTTTCAAAGTTTGGAGGAAAAATTTAGTGTTGGAATGTGTTAATAACAGAAATGAAGCTACCTTGTTATTGTAACAAATTATTTTTAAACTACAAGAACTTTTGTGTGTCAGGCAGACAAGGAATAACTATTTCGTTTGTGAAAGCCCTCCTAGTGCGATACCCAAACTTTTAAACAGAAGCTGCTTCTCATTTAGCAGCAAGCTGGTTTTCATTTATAGCAACCTTCCTTCAATAGTCAGACTTCACACTTTTTTACCATGCAAACTGCAGGCAGTAATTATCTGTAATAGAACCTGTCATCTGCTGAAGTGTATTCAAGTTCTTAACAGCAGCTGTGTGTTTTGAACTTAGATGGACACTTTTCCTGAGACAGAGTTATCTGGAAGCTTGCTGATAGGGTTTTTCTTTTTCATAAGCTCAAATACCTATACAGAGAAACACTGTAATGCTTGTCAGCAAATGTTCTTCATTGAGTAAATGAATTTAAATTAACTTCCAGTACTTTTTCCTCTGGGAGAAAAGATTGGATGATAAAAATTCAGGTAAAACTATTGAATTCTCAGAGGTGAGAGTAATATGTATTACAGAACTAATACATATATAAAGTTGGAGAGCAACTTTTTGCTCAGTCAGATAATAGGATCATATCATAGAATGTCTTGGGTTGGAATGGATCTCAAAGATCACCCAGTTCCAACCCCCCTGCCGTGGGCAGGGATGTCACCCATTAGATCTGGTTGCTCAGGGCTTCATCTAACCTGGTCTTGAACACCTTCAGGGATGTAATGGCAGGACAAGGAGGAATGATTTTAAACTAAAAGAGGAGAGATTTAGATGTTAGCAGGAAATTCTTGACTCAGAGAGTGGTGAGGCACTGGAACAGGTTGCCCAGAGAAACTGTGGATGCTCCATCCCTGGAGCTGATCGAGGCCAGTTTGGATGAGGCCATGGGCAACCTTTACCTTAAGGTCCCTTCCAACCCATGCTGTTCTAAGATTGGTACTATACATGCCCATTGTTTAAAAGTGTATATATATATATGGAGAAAAGAAAATGTAAAGATTTTTTGGATGTATGAAGAATATAGATGTAAGACTCCACTAATCAATTAATGTATTTTTGTGGAGGTATATCATTTTGGGAACATACACCTAAGTCATTTCCCGTTGTTGTGTGCTTTCCTGTTTTATTTGCATGTAATTGAAAATGAGAGGTAAGAAAATGGCTTTCTGGGAAAATTACATTGGCTGTGTTCCTGCATTGTTTTACAACAGCGGTGTCCTTTACAGATAGCTTGTTGCTTTTAAATTCATAATTTTAAAATGTTTGTTTTTCTTTCAGGTAGAGATAACAGATATTGAAAATGAAGAAAAAAGGTACAAGCTGTTCTTGGGACTTCTGGAATCTAGTCACAGCCTGTCTGAGTTTCAGCACTTGGTTTTACTCCTTCAAGCATGGCCACCTATGGAAATGAGCAACAGGTGAGCATTTCTTCAAGCAAAAAAAAAAAGTTTTATTGATTGATCATATCACGTAACTTTCAGTCAGTGAGTTCAAACATGGTTAAGAGGAGTATGACCTTTCAAAAAGATCATTTGGGGAAAATAAATGGCTTATTAAAAGTAGAATTGAATCAGTTTCTTTTAGAAGGTATATAGTATGCCTCACGCAGAAGACAGAACAATTTTGTTGTCTGAATTATTGCACAGGAGGTTTTTCCAAGTACTTGAATATAGAGTTACGTCTTTTACTCTCACTTTTGCCAGTATGTAGAAAATCCAATAGGAAGTTCTGACTTGCCTTTTTTTTTTTTTTTTTTGGTGTTAATAATTCTACTTCAAGTTATGCTTTACAGAAAAGTCTTTGAAAGCTAATGTTCATATGTGGCAGACAAGCTGCAGAAGGTAGAAGGTCTGTGCAGGTAATGGTACCAAGCAATGGTGCTTTTATTTTCTCGATCCAATGCCTCTCATTTCTGTTTCTAGATGAAATATCTGAAAGCAAAGAATTTATACTATGGCAGGACATATCCAGAAGATTCTAGCCCAACAATTTAAAATGAAAATAATTGTTTAAAATTTCAGCATGGCACCCATCAGAATGGGTATTTATTGAAACTGTTTACTGAAAATTTTGATTTGGGACATCTTGACTACAATTTTATTTATTGTTTCTTTTGTTTTTGTCTGTGACTTCCTGAACATGCTTAAAGGTAACAATTTCAGTTGTTCCATTCTGTAACAGACTCTTGATTTCTAAGATAAAAGGATTCATACAATCTTACATTAAGGCAAAAGTCACACATCCTTCAAGGAGAGCAGAAAGTACACTTTCTGGCTAGCCAGTGCAATGTAGCATGCTTTGTCTGACCATAGTTAGGTTAGAGACATTAAATTATACTTTCTTTGGATTGCTTTGATGGCATTGATTGCAACCTGTTTGAATTTGAGGACTATGCTCCCCAAAGTGTTTATGTTTATTGATTAGCCAGAGAAGTTCAGGTCTACCTTTTTATGAACAATAATTCTTTTTTTTTGTACTTGTAGAGAACCAGTCCATTAGAATCTAATCTGTAAAGGTTATTCACCTTCAAGCCTGCATTTTGTTTGTGATTTCTGGATGAAAATTAATCTAAATCCTATATGACATTTTTATGAACTAAATATTTTCTTCAGTGCATTGTGAATTACAAAAATTGCTGCATGATCTGTCACAAATATATATTCCAATTTTCCTTTTTAGTTTTAATTGTATCTGAAAAATTTGATGCCTTCCGGTGTGTGGGGAACTGTCAGACTCTGTTCAAGGTAGTGTTTAGATTTACAAAAAACAAAAAACAAAACCAAACCAAACAAACAAAAAACAAAACAAACAAACAAAACAAAACAAAAAAAACATAACTTATGGAGCACAAAGGAGAGTGAAATATTGCTGCAAAACGATTAGCAAAGATTTTTCTCCTTGGGCTGAACAGACAGTCTGAAGATTTTGTGAAAGCAGAACACTTATAAATAGACAGTTCTTGTTTACTGTTCTGTGATAGAAAAAAAAACATAAAAATTATTTAATTTTATCTCCCACTTGGTGTTGTTTCTTCAGACTCTTTGTCAAGTGAAAAAGAGAAAACAAAATAATGATTAAATGTTATTTGTATTCACAACTAACAGTGGGTTAAATTTCAGAGGTAGGATGCATCTTAGTTCCGAGATGTGGATAGCCTGAAAATTTGTACAAAATACTTTGAACACCCATATTTTAAGTCATTTAGGATCTAAAGCAGTGTAGCTACTAGACATACGCATAATCTCAATTCTAACATAAAGAAATCAATGTAGCTAAGATAAGGGGCAAGAGAACTTCTATTATCTGCCTTGACTATGCTCATGTCAGTTTTGTACTGGAAAGCCCACAACTAAGTGCAGCACTCCAGATTTGTCTCACTTAATGCCAAGTGGAGAGGAAGGAACACTTTCCTTGACCTGATGGCAATGCTTATGCAGTTCAGGATGCTGGTGGCCTTCTTTGATATGAGGGTATATTTCTGGCTTATTGTCACCTTGCCCACCAGGGCCATCTTTTTCTGCTCAACTGTTCCAGCTGATTGGCCCAGCCTGTACTTCTGGTTATTCCTCCCCAGGTACTAAACTTTGGATTTCCCTTTGCTGGGCAGAGATAAGCCACAGAAAACTGGTTACTCCTCTTAAGGCCCATCAGAATGGCAGTACAACCAACCTGTGTATCACCCACTATTTTCTAGTTTAGTATCATCTGCAAACTTTCAGAGGGTTCACTGTCTCATCATCATCCTGGTCTTCAATGAAGAAGTTAGAGTATTGGCCCCAGTACCAACCACAGGGGTGCACCACTGTTCACTGGTTTCCAACAGGACTTTGTGCCACTGATAACAACCCTTTGATCCTGGATTATCAAAACCAGTTTTGAGTCTACTTCTCTGTCCACTTATCTAGCCCACCCTTCATCAGTTTGTCAGTCAGGGTATTATGAGCATTGAAAGTATTGTTGAATGAAGGTATGTAACATCAACTATCATCCAGTCATTTCATTGTAGAAGGTTATCAGGCATGATTTCCACATTTTAAATCCATGTTGACTAATCTCAGTCACCTGCTTGCCTTCGAATTCTTGGAAATGCTTCTAGGAAGATTCGCTTCATCTCTTTAGCAGAGATCGAGGAGAGACTGACTGGCCTGTGTCTTAGCGTAAAGTCTTAAGGAACAAACTGAAAATTTATCCTCTGATTAGATTTTCATTTTTACTTTTGTTTTAAACAATTTCTGTTATCAGTTGAACTTGTCTTGAAAGGTGTCTTTCTTCACTGCCTTGTCTTTGCTATGAGGCATCAGAAATCCTTCAGGAGGAATAGCCCCCTTCTCTTTCAGTAGTAGTAGCTACCTTTACTGATTTCATGGAGAATCTCTGACTCATGATTCCATAACATGATTTACAGTGCAGGCTCAGGAAGTTTTCCTGAGCTCAGCACTTAATTCACTTTCACTGTTTACAGGGAAATAAAGAGTAGTTCAGATTTCCAGTTTTCTTTTGAGTTTGCCTAAAGCTCTAGACAACCAAAAATTAAAATAACTTTGATTATGTTAATAGAAACGAAAACAAATTTTTGTTTGGTTGTTTTGTTTTTTGTTGTTGTTTTTAAAGGTGGGCATCACAGGTTGCATTTCCCACTGTTACTTTATTCTTCAGTTCTCTCTGCTAGCTAGAGGAGTAGGAAAGACCTTGCAGTCTGTTCTCTTCCCTGCTTTAGCTGTGTTTTTCTCAAGGAGAAGAGAATTGAGGTTGCGTCTTGAAAGAAGAGACAGAGATGTTGTTTTCCTGCCCACCCCTCCCCTCCTAACCCTCATCATTCTTTTCTCATTAGGAATGATGCATCTCTAGTTTCTTTGTGTTTCTTTGTGGTTGTGGTTTTGTTCAGTTTTCCCTCTCCTACTAGAAGTTGTCCCAGTAGAAAAATTTATCAAAGGTGTGACAGTTTGCTCTCTCCTGAGGTCTTTGTGTTTATACTCTCATTGCTTTTCTGTTAATATCTGTTTTGTTTCTGTTATTAACAGTACTTGCAAAGCTAAGTGCTTTATAAATTCTGTATCTGTAGTCTTCAAAGCCCTCCTTTCTTACGCATTTCTAGTGCTTTCAAGGAATGTGCCTGGTATTTTAATAATAGTCAGCATGGTCATAGTTATGATTGTTGCAAATTCATCCCCTCCACTTAGTTCTATAGGCTCAGTCATCTATGTTTGGAGTTTTGTTTTTTTTGGAAGGAAAGTGTTTTTGTTTATTTTTGTTGTTTTTAAATAAGTCTAATGGACAAACAGTAAGTACTTTACAAGGACTTAACCTAAATTAAAATCTAGGCTAAAAAATAAACCATTGTTTAAAAATAAAAGCACAAAATTTGTATCTTTCAGTCTAAAGGAATATGTTTGGTGTGCAGAAACATTCTCAAACAGATTTTTGGCATTCATAGTAAGTGTGCTGTCATCAGAATGAATTTGCATGAACTCAAAACATCAATAGTTAATAATGCTCCAGAAATGAAGCGTTGTCCTCGTTCCACCCTCAGTCCTCCTACCTCAAGCATGATCGGCTTTAAAAAGTCAGCTACAGCTCTCTTAAGTATCCTTCAATATGAGAGAACATTCATTTTCTGAACTCTTACCAAGTAGATAGTTACATCTTTGCAACTCCTTCTTGTTACAATCAGCTGGGAATAGCTTACATTTCATTTTCATTATTTTGAATTTTATTTCTTAATTTGAATTATTTTGCTTTGTAAACCCTGGAGTAATTCATGCCAGCCAAGAAACAGAGGGTGTTTTGTAAGTACGATGCTCCGCAGCAATCAAAACCAGCAACAACAAAATTTTTACTTCCTTCCTTCTTTATCTGAGCTTTCTTTCCTTCTCTCCCTATTGTCATTGACAGTCATTATCATATGCTTATCTCTGCATTTTCGGCAAGGCTGCTAGCAATCTCTGCTCTGTTCTGGTGTCTTCTCTTCTTGCATTACTCATAAATTCTCTCTTTTGTCTCTGTTACATATTTCATGTCAGTAGTGTTCAGGTATCCTTACAAGATTTTCTTTTTTTAAATGTTCCTGAAACTGTGTTGCTGAAAAACCTGCCTTGGTAGATCAGTTGGAATAAAGCAGGAACTCTTTTGATAGTGAGTTACTCAGCAATCCCATTTTTTAAAGCAAATCATATGAAGAAATTGTTGAGTAAAGAAGAGAACTATAAGCAATTAAGCCAATTGTTTAGCTGTACGTATTAGGGTTTTGTTCAATCTTTACTTATTTGTTCTTGCTCTGCTGCAAAAAAAGGCCTTTGATGCTAACTGATTGTTTATTTCAAATGTAATAATATGTGCAGGAACTGGGGAATTTTACTCTTAGTCATCTGAATACTTAAAATCTCGGTTTTCAGCCTAGCTGTAAATACCTAATCCTTAAAATTGAATACCAAGCTAGAAAATAAAACTTATCTTTTGTAAAGGCTCAAAAGGAAGGGAAAGTAAAAGAACTGAAGCTTGGGGTCTTTTTCTTTACTTTAAAAAAAAAAATTATTTCTAATTAAAAAAAAAAAAAGAGTTCTCTGACAAAGATCAGTCTGAGGGTGTTTTTGTATTTCAAAACACTCTGATAAAAGAATGGCCATGTTGACTGCGAGGAATCACTGAAGGTGACTTGGTTGTTTCAGTCAATACTCAAAAATGTATACATTTTTTAAAAACTGGTGTTTAAACCCATGTTATTCATGGATGCTTTTCCATCTAGGTGTCTCATAGTCTCATATTCAGATGTCATTTTAAGCGCTTCATGAAGACATTAAAAAAAAAAAAAGGAAGAAAAAGATTGACAGTACCTGAAGCTCTGCAGTCCTTTGGAACTTGCTGCCTACGTTCAAAAGGCATTTTTTATATTCATTTTAAATATTGATAAGGTGTTTGGGAACTCAAAAAGACATGATTTTAGGGGCTCAATGGCTTAGTTCACGTTTCATTTTTTCTTAATGCAAAATGTCCCTCCAAAGATGCTTTTGGTTTGGTGCAGGAAAATAATGCCTTCATTGCAAGTTTGTGAAAAAGTTCTCAGCATGGAAAAAGTAATTTACTTTTATTTATTTAAAAATAAATAAAAATGGTTAAATTCATGAAAGAAGAAAACTGAATTCTGCCTACAGTTGTCAAATTTTTTGGTGACTGAATCTTGTTTTTACGTAGAGATGGCAGATGATGCTTTATTTGATAGCAGACCACAGAAGGTCAAATAATTATAAGGAAAATTATAATTTTCAGAAATCACAATTATATGTCAGAAAAGATTTATATATGTAAAGTATATATCCAATGCTTAACTTAAGGCATGCCATGTGCAGCTTTATTTATTGAATGGTCTTGCATCTTTCTGGTTATATCTAACTTTTCTAACTGTTCTGTTTCTTTGTAACTACTTCTAAATGTGCTTTGAAGTGTGATTTTTGTTTTCTTCTTCTAATGGAAAATTCTTCTAGGTTTTCTTAATGTACTCTGGAGGCAGCAGCTATAAAAATGGAAATTCATGATGATTCTCCATGCCTCTAAGCAAAAGATGGATCACATAGCAGGAGCTATTAATTTAGCCAGTGGCAAAGATGGAGTTGCATATTGTTTTTTTTCTTCTCCTGACCTTACAGGGGTTTTGTAGATCAAGTGCATCATGTTTTGCCTGTCAGATAAGTTGGCTTCTTTGGGTCCAACCCATCAGGTTGGAAGGAGAGGAGGAGGAGCTGTGCTGCTCCCAGCCAGGCTCCTGGCAGCAGTTTGTTCAGTGACTGTGACTGATGGAAAGGCTCAATTAAGTTGTCAAAAAGAATGAAAATCATGACTTCTATTTAGTTTGCATTCAAACTCACCTACTCTTAGCATCTCTGCCTGGTGTTTGTGTTAGAATATAATGTCAGCTTCCAGTGGAGCTGGTTTTATTTGTTTACAGTATGTACTTACGAAAGTGGAAGCTGAACAGGAGAGAGCTTATATATGTATGAAATAGTAGGTATTAGCAGTTGTCCTCTACCAAATTGTCAGACGTATTCTTTGTTATGTGTCAGCCCAACTGATTTTTTTTTTAACAGACTCCATTTGCTGCTGTAGTTATTATGTTACTTTGAACAATTGGTGCTAAATAATACCATTGAAAAACAGCACTTTCAAAGCACTTTACAGCTCCTTTCCACTTGTGCTGGACAAGTATCTTAATTTGCGGTGAACTGTAAGGCCAACCTGTCAGATTTGCTCTTCCAGTGACTTTTTTCCATTCTTCAAACAAAACAAAATAAAAATATATCCTGCTTTTTTGGGATGTTGATTAATGACCAGAAATTCATGGAGTTTTTTTTTTTTTAAACCACCTTTTGTGCTTTCTTTTGCGTATGCACAGATAAACATAATGGTTGTGTGTCGTGGTTTAACCCGGCCGGCAGCTAAACACCACACAGCCGTTCGCTCACCCTTCCTTCTCCCTCTCTGGGATGGGGGAGAGAAATGGGAAAGTGAAGCCCATGAGTTGAGATAAAGACAGCTTATTAAGACAGGAAAATAATAATAACGATAATAATAATAATAATAGCGATAATAATAATAATGATAATAACAATAACAATAATGATGATAATAGTACTACTAATAATAATGTGTACAAACAAGTGATGCACAATGCAATTGCTCACCACCTGCTGACCGATGCCCAGCCTACCCCTGAGCAGTCCGGCCCCCCTCCTCCAGCTAGCCACCCCTATATATTGTTTAGTATGACGTCAGATGGTATGGAATATCCCTTTGGCTAGTTTGGGTCAGCTACTCTGGGTCTGTCCCCTCCCAGCTCTTGCTGCACCCCCAGCCTGCCTGTTGGCAGGACAGAGTGAGAAGCTGAAACGTCCTTGGCTTGGTGTAAGCACTGCTCTGCAACAATTAAAACATTGGGGTGTTATCAGCACTCTTCTCATCCTAAGCATTCTACCAGCTAGTAGGAAGAAAATTAACTCTGTCCTAACTGAAACCAGGACATTGTGTTACTGTGGCTTTATGTGGTCTTGATCTACACTGTTAAGTGTGATTTTAGACCATTGTAGAAGTGTATTGAAATGCATTAACTTAACTCAAATAAGCAAAATGGCAGTGTGGATGTGTTCTAGTGTTACACTTCATGCTCTCATTTAAAAGCTCCACTCTGCTGCCTGTTTCTATCAGTACGTCCAGTCCTAGAAAGTACACCTATCACTACCAACAGTAGTCAGGCATCTCCATGATCTAGCAAATAGCTGCTGCAGGCCAAGAAATGTTCCAGCGATGAAATTTTATACTAAATGTCACCTTTGCTAGCATGCATGATATAACTTACATATGCCTACTGTCTGCCTTCTGTTTAAGGCTGACCATGTAATGGTGATAGCAGATGAAGTTGTATTCATTTTTGGGTCCCTTGCGACAAGGATATTATTTTGATCGAGCATGTGCATTGATGAGAAACGAAGCTAAGGGAACTGGGGCTGTTTAGTCTGGAGAAGAGGAGGCTGAGGGGAGAGCTCATTGCTCTCTGACTACCTGAAAGGAGGTTGCAGCAAGGATGGTGTTGTTCTCTTTTCTCACATGATGAGTGATAGGATGTGAGGAAGTGATCTCAGGTTGTGCCAGGAGAGGTTTAGATTGTATTTAGGAAGGATTTCTTCATGGAGAGGGTGACCAAGCATTGGAATGGGATTTCCAGGAGATATGGCGGAGTCCTCATCTCTGGAGGTATTTGTGATGTGTAGACATGACACTAAGGGACGTGGTTTAGTGATGGAACTCAGTAGTTCATGGTGGCTGAACTTGGTGGTCTTGAAGGCCTTTTCCAGCCCAGGTGATTCTAGGATTTTAACTTCTATATGAAATAGAAAGGACACTTTAAATACAATAATAATAATGACCATAATAAAAAAGTACCTACATTCATATCTACTAATGGAGAAGTACAGTTGCATATAATTTCTCTCTACAGCATTGTTTCTATGGGCTATAAAATGGGTTTTATAGAAGATAGATATATTTTTAAATGTTTATTTTTTTTTGTGCTTGTTGGACTGGAAAAATTAAAATTTGAGTCTTCTAAATTTTTTCTAAACAAAGAAACTAGACAGGTACTTGAGAGACAGATTCTGTTAGAATTTGATCAAAGCTAAGAAAATTAGGAATTCTGGTTTTATGTCACCACTCCCTCAATACCATTTTGTTGGGGAAATTAGCTGGTACAAAGACAGGAGATGCTGTTCGTATGCTGTTCCAATTTGATCAGTCTTTGTCTGGTGTGTGATTCCTCAGATAACAGTATGTCAGAATTCAAAATACTTCTTATAACTTTGTTGCATTGAAAGAGGGATGGCGTCAGATTAGTAACTTGTCTCAAAATGTTTTCTTCTCTGTTTCATGAGATCATACTTTAATTCTCATACATGTGCACAAACTTCAGAAAATTGTGTGTATGTATGTATATACACATGCATGTATATGTATATATGTGTATGTGTACATATAAACATCTTTTTTTTTTTTTTTTTTTTTTTTTGGGGGGGGGGTAGGTTGTGCACAGATGGTAATCCCTGGGTGAAACTGGGGACTGCTATGCTACAGAGATGCCCAGCTGAGGAAAAGGAGAGCACGGGAAATGAAATTTTGAAAATCTGCCGTTCTTTGTATGACACTAAGCACATGCTCCCTGCTGAGGTAAGTTTTAACATTGTTTGTGGTGGATATGAGTCCTGTTTTGGAATCCCAGTGCAAGACAATGTTGCCATGCTGTATCAAGCCCAGTGGAGAGCCAGCAGGATGATCAGGATGCCGATACACAATACATAGAGAGAGGCTGAGAGAATTGGGTTGATTCTATCTTAAGAAGAGATGGCAGAGGGAGATCATATTGCTGTTTTTAAATATGTGGAAGAGAAAACATGTAGAGGAGGCAGAGACAGTTTCTTTTTAGTGATTAAATGAAAGGCAGGAGAGAGAACTTGCAACCTGAAAACTGTTTATCTACAAGGAATAGTTTTTCTCCACTGAAGTGGTGAAACACTGGAACATGCGATTGCCTGGAGAAGACATGGAATCTTCATCCTTGGAAATATTCAGAACTTGGCTGGATCATGTCATGGGCGATTTGATCTTGTCAGGCTGGCTTTGAATTAGGAGCTAGTTAGATTATATGACCTTTAGAGGTCTGTTCCAGTGTAAATTCTTAGAAGTATTTGTAGAAAGGCTTTAATAATGCATTGCTATTGAAATCAGTATGGCTAAAGCTGTTCATTAAATAGTGAGTAATTTTCTCTCTTATAAATGTATAACGGTTTAGCGAGGAATCCTTGAAAATGTGTTGGCGATAATTTATATACAAGCAATTACTTTGTAATAACCGTGTGATATTCTGTCTTGCTCTACTGTGTAAGTATACTTCCATACAAGCATCTCTACAATTATTGAAGTGTTTTGTACATAAATATTGTATACTAATCAAGACAGGCTTGAGAAATGCTTAATAAACTTCATACAACTTTAGAGTAGTCCTGCGCATATTTTACTAGGCTCATTAATCGCATATAATCTTTGTCGTGCAATCACAGTCTTTGCTAGAGAAAACAGCTAATGTTAAGACCAGAAGCAGAACAGAAAAGACACATTCTATTTAAAATAAATGGGAGGGGGTAGGCTGTGCTTTTTTTTTCAATAGTTAGACTGATTTCCGTTCAAAATCTGTGTAAAACATGACTCCAGAAGGTGTCAGTAATCTGAAAGGTTGCATTATTAATTCACTGGCTTCACCAAAACTTTTGGTTGAAGACAGGTGTCTATAACTTTGAGACTGGTGTTAAGTGTACATGTATGTAGCTTTTCTTTACAGGATTGAGTGATGCATGATCTTACACGTCCATAGGAGTAGTCAAAAGTTGCCGAAGTAGGCTAACTCACTTTAGTGAATGAGGAAGACAAATCCCCCTGAAGGTCATTATCTTATAGCAGTCAGTTTACCAAGAGTTCTGCTCAAGAGTGGGTTGTAATTTTCTCACATTTCTTAATTAAGTGAACTTTTTCTTGAATTCCATAACAAGACCATTATTTATTCACTGTTTTGATGTTGTTTGACAGCTTTAGTTAGAGGTGCCTTGTTTTTTAAAGATAGAGTGTTGGAAGAACCCTACCTATGGGTGTGAATATATACAGATCCAGTATAGATTCATTACTAGTAAAAGTTATGTAATGTTTGAGGACCAGACTAGCTTTACCAATTTAACACACCTTTTTTGGCTAGAATGTTGTACAGCAACAGAAGTTGCACCATGATGTTTGATTGTACTATTTATTACCTACAAATACAGGCTGTACTGTTTTAAGTCTCTTCTTGGGAAGAAGGGGAATGACATGGGTGAATTTAAGTAACTTATTTATACACACAGCTACAGTGCTTAAGCGCTGTACACTTAAGTGTACAGTAAGTTGAGCTTGCATGGCTATATAAGATGAAAACCTGATTGCTGACAAATAACCTATTTAGATGACTTCATATTTTAATAAATATGAATATTTTAATAATATTAATATATTATATTTAATATAATTATATTTAATATATTATATTTATACTTATTATATAATTAATAAATGCACTGCCTGATAAATCTCTTTAGAAAGGGGCAAATTCTTCTTCCCCTTAGCAATTATTATATTTATATAATAATATAAATATTATTTATATTTAATATATTTAATTTAATTATATTTAATATAATATATTAATATATTGATATATTATTTTAATAATATTAATAATATTAAAATATGAATATTTTAATAAATATGAAGTCATACAATTAAGAGGAGAGAGCTAGAATGATGGAATTCTAAAAACATTTTGTCACCATGGATAACATTTGCCATTCTGAAATGCAAAAGTTGTGATGGAAAATAACATTTAACTTCAAGTCATGATGGTCTAGAAAAACTTTCCTTAGATGTAGATTTCATCAGAAAGCACTCTTGTTCTTTATCCTTCCTCCTGCTGGTCTTTCTAGTTTATTTACAGCCAAGATCTTTTTTAATGTTTTCTGAGGAATTGCATAGCTTTAATCTTTGCATCTATATATGTGGATTTTTTGTTTGGTTGGTTTTATTTGCATTATTCAGTGGATGGACTTTTTCATTTGTCTTTGTTCAAATAAGCACTGTTTTACTTGCTTAGAGTGCACATCTGTTTGGACTATCTGACATCTCCTGCACTGCCTGATAAATCTCTTTAGAAAGGGGCAAATTCTTCTTCCCCTTAGCAAGTGTTAAAGTGCAACTCCTCTGAATATCTTGTGTTTTTCTATCAACCTGTAGGTCAAGTGTCAGTTAACATGAGCACTTAAATAGAAGAATGCATCTAGTCTCTTGTAATTTCTGGGGTTTTGGTGGCCATAAGATGCTTATCTTGTAGAATAATACAGCAGCTGATTTTCTTTTTTTTCCCTTCTATTTTTGCAGCTACTTATTCATGCTTTTTATATATGAATTTACTTTGTATATTTTTCTTCATTCACAGTTGTCTCTGACCATTTTGTTTAGGTAATTTTGAATTTAAATGCTACCCTTTGAGTCTCTTTACACAATACTGTTTGTACTCATTATCCAGCCATTTGAGCCATCCATGAAAACACTGAGTAATAGCGGACCCAAAGCAGACTCCTATGAAATTCATTTGCTATGCCTCACTGGTGTTACAGTGAACCATCAATAGCTGCATAACTAGTTAGAAAGCAAATGTTTCTTTACAAAAGTTTCAGCTACATCATGGTAATCTGGATTTTGATTTAGGACTTCCCTTGTCCCTCTCACAGGTAACATCATGTGACCTCGAAGTGCAGCCTCTCATGGTAGACAGACAGATACTAGAGTGCTTTCCAGTGCTATTGCAGAGAGAAAAGTTGTTTGTGTTGCTCTTTAAAAGTGTTCAGAATGTTGGCTTGTTGCATAGGTTGGATTTCCAATTTCTGCCCAAATCAGCAGTGCGGTCATTTGTACAAGACATACGAGGAGATGGTTTTACTATTTGGACAGTTTTCTGTGCTTGGCACATAGTCGTGTCACTTCGGTTGGAAAAAGGGATGAAGGCCGCTGCAAGGGTTGCAAATTGGACCACACTGTCGTAGACTTTATTTCCCTAGTTTCTCTGACAGTGTTTCAGTGTGACATCTTTGAAGTCTTGCCAAGATAAAAGTATACCATAGCTTTATTCCTAACTATTAGACCTGTTGCTAGGACCCATAGGAAGATTTTCCTGTGAGTTTTTTTATGTTTGATTTTTCATTGTATGTTTTGATGGTTTTCACGGGCTTGATGTCTGAGAAGTCTACAATTCCTTTGCCTCTTGCACATCTTTATTCCATGTCTAAAGGGCAGGCTGCCTTTCTCTTTTCCAGTCTTCTGTAACCAGTCTTGTTCTCAAGAGTGATATCTCTTAACTTGATTTATTATTTCTGTAGATCGTTTGAGATGCATTCTTGAGTCCCAGAAAAAATAATATATATTATTAATTCTAGAGTAAATTTTCAATTTACTGAAGTTTCACCTGTTGTAATTGTCCACTGTTATTGTTCATTTAATTGAGATCTTTTAATAAGAATTAAAGCAAGAAAGACATTTCCTTTTCTTGAATTTTCATTACTGGCTTTTGCATAGCAGTATGTCATTAATCATGATGTCATGTCATAAGAGTACCAGGGAAACGGAGGCAGTGCAGTCTTACCAGAAGGTTAGAGAGATCAAGTGCAGATTAGTGGATAAGAAGGGCAAGTCTCCATAAACAGCTAGTGAACTAGTGAGAATATAATGCCCTGTTAGCATGGCTGCATTTTGAGAGGATGCTGCAAAAAGAGGGGCAAAAGAGAGAGCCTTACAAAAGTTAGTGTACAGATGAACCTGAAAGGGGCAGACTGAAAGAGTGCAGTATATTACCTTATCAGAGATTGAGAGGTTGATTTTATTGTGTTGTATGGGTATTTTTAGAGGGAGCAGAAGCTAATAAAATGCTCTTTTGATTTACAAAGAAATGTGTAAAATGAAACATAACAATTGTTGGAATATACTTTTCCTTAGAGAGAAATGATGAATTATCTATATTTGAACATTTTTTTGTAGGTAAGACTGGATATCTGCTGTCTCCTAGACTCAAAATGAGGCACAGAGTTACTCAAGTCATATGACTGGTAACTACCTGATATCTAACTACCTTTGGCTTAAAAATTTGCTAGTGTAAGGTAAATCTAAGTTTATTGAATAGCTAAACATTTTCTTCTGTTGAGGCCTTTCTGCCTCTGTTACAAACAAAGCAGATTGCTTTAGAAAATATCCCATTAAAATGTATAACCAGTACTAGGACATAATCTTGAAGCATCTAAGAAGCAAACAAAACAGTGGCATGTCATCTGAGTTAAATGTTATTGCTTGGAAAATAAGAAAGTTAATATCTGTATTATTGCATTTGCTTGCTGAGTGATGTAATTTTCTTTATTTTAAAGAAGTGCAATGAGATAGCAAATAGATTCAACATCTGCACCATTGGTCTCCCTGACGTGTTGCTTTAAACTTGTACTGTGCCTGATTCCCTTTTCTTCCCCACACAACCAAAAAATATGATTTGGGGTTCTTTTAGAGCCTTTTTATAGTTATGGGTTATTTCTAATGACACTGTTTCTCCATTTAGTTTTGAGAGGCTTTCAGGCAGAAAACGTTACCAAGTATGGTAAAATTGCTGTTTTGTTCAGGTTGTGTATCTTATGACTCAGAAATTATTTTTCTGAACATAAGCTACATTTATTGCCATGGATACACCTTTTCAAGAAAAGACTTGTAGAGTGAGTGAATCTCTAACTTTGCATTCAGTAGGTTTGCTGGTATGTCGAGCATACTGCTCAAAAGAAACACAGTATAATATGAAATTATCAAAAGTTTAATGAGCATATGACTGATCAGACAAAGTTTTAGTGTATTTATTTAATCTTCTTTTTCCTTGATCCTATATTCTTATTCCTTGATCCCTTACTGAAAACATTAATCATCAGTAGCAGCAGAATATAGGTTTAAAGGAACAAATCTGGGTAAGAGAACAAGCATTGCATGAGTGATGCAGAGCTCAGTGCAGTATAATTTATCCTGCTCACTGCTGTTTCTTGAAGGTATACATTTAGAAGAGGCTGAGCAAAGTGCAGCTAAGAAGCTTCCTGTACCAAGTGAGGCCAGGTGATTGTGAAGTACATGACTGTCAAAACCTTTAACATCTTTGTCTTTGAATAGTAGCTGTGACTCTAAAAGCCTGGAAATTAAAACCATGCTGCTAAAAGTGTGGTTGTATTTCAGTCTTCAAATTGTTATACTTACCATTAAACTTCAAAAGATTTCTAAAAATGGTTTGCATTCCCTCAAAGTAATATTTAGCTGATGAAATCCTTTGGCGATTGATGTTTTTCTAAGTGTTGCAGTGAAACAAAGAGCCCCTGGAAGATTTGGATGCCATTTGCAAGGTGACAGTGCTATGTAATACTCAGTGTAAGCACTCAGCGTAAGTTGTCCAGAACACAGGACATGTCTGCTGGATCTCAGAGGAAAGTGGCTGTTAGAACAAAATCATTGGGAAAAAAAAAAGGGGAGGGGAAGTCATCATCGGATGTATAACAGTTTGTTAGTCTAAATGCTTTTTGATGTATAAATAAATCATTGCCATGTTAAGGAAAAACAAAAAGACAAGTTACTTGTAGGGTTTTTATTTGTTTGTTTGAGTTTTTGTTTTGTTTTTAAACTAAAATTCAAGTTAAAGATTTGGAAACACATAGTTTTTGTTTGTTTGTTTGCGTTTAAATATGTCCTTTTTTGCTGCATCAGCTTTATGATGCTAAATTTGTGCTCTATTATAAAAATGAGAAGTTATATGAAAGAGGGAAAGGTAAATTACTATGCTTTCATCACATGTAAAAGTTTGTATAAAGTTTGAAATTGTTTTTGAAACAGAGCTTTATGGTGTTGCACTTCGGTATGTACTGTTATTTCCTCTTTGTTTGTTCCACATTTATGATTGTATAATTGAGTTACAGAAGTATCACAGGTGTCTGTTAAACTTCTTTCTGTGCTTTGCAGTATTTCACTAAGCACAAATATATGAGTCCCAGAGAGGGCTGTGATTGCTTTGTTTCTCTTTCAGTGAAACTCTGGGTTCTAATGGTGATTCAGTGCCTCATCTTAATGTAACAAAGACTCGACTTATAACCCTGTATTCCACTTTTTTTTTTTTTTTAATTATAAATTTATCTGTTCAAGTTTCCAAAGACTTATTTCCATCAGGGACTTCATTTGTTTTAGAAGTTAGGTTTTCATTCTTCATTTGACACAGAATTTTCATAAATTTTAGCTTGAGTGATGATGTTAATATCTCCAGAGGTCTTGCTGAATGAGTTTACTTTTATTTTCAGTGTATAAAAGAATTATGTTTGTTGCTGCTTAACCAGTCCCTTTTGCTGCCATCCCTGAAACTGCTGGTGGAAAGCAAAGATCAAGATCTTCATGCTGTGGCACTGGAGCAGATAACAACTGTTGCTAAGGTATGAGCAGTTGAATTAATTAGCTTTCAGAGTTTAAGGTAATAAATTAGCTCTTTTATCTTCATATTAGTAAGCAGAGACTATCGAGACCCTTATTATTAGGATTTTCTACAGCTATTGTGTACACTGAGCAGTAACACAGGGCTTGTAAGATCTTTTCTATATACTTGAGGTGATTAAAACTGACAGCATTTTCTTTAAATTACCTAGTGTGTTATTGTAAGTCAATGTGATGGAAAAGAAACAACCGTGTTATATGAAATAGATTGTTATCTCAGTGTATCTATTATTGCACTTTATTATTTTTTTGTAAGTGATAAAAGTACAAATGAGTTAGCATGTCTCTGACAATCTTGGCATTGTTCATGTACACATTGTAAGCTGCTAACATTTTTTGTTTTGTAGAAGGGATGAAATACGTATTTGGGGATTTTAGTCAATTCTAAACATGTTTTTACTTAATACTGCAACAGAGTTTCTGGAAGAAAAAAAGCTAAATACTACCTCTTTGGACAAGAACTGCTATACATTACTATGTATTTTCAATTGTTGTAGAAAGTTACACAACTGTTCCACTCCCCTCCCCCCCCAGTGAAATGAAAGCTAGTCTTTTAGAAAGAAAAATCAGTTGTTTGCATGTTTTGTTTTTTGTTTTTGTTTTTGGTCTCCCGAGAACTGAGATGGGTTTAAAACTTCTAACTTCTAAATGAACTTCTGTGCATGTACAACCTGAAAGACTTTCTTGGATTTTGTTAGCCATGGTTGTGCAGTACAGCTGTCTACTTACTGCAAAAGAGAAGGAATGGCTTTCCTTTCTTGCTGGATAACTGCATTGAAGGTGCCCATATAATGTTTATTTATTTAGAAAAAACACATCTCCAATATTTTTGAATTCTGTACTGTCTCTTAGGGAGCTCTTAGTTGTATATTGCAATATAAAATAATAATTGAGGTAAAATTTCCAGTATGCTATTTCAAAATAAAACTGCCTTTACAGAAACAGGAATGAAAACTTGTACATGTTTTTAAAATAAGCATCCTCAAAATGCAAAAGCTTTAAAAATGCAATGTGTTGGAATGCAGATTGAAAATGTACCTTTTTTCTGAGATTAAAAGTATGCAAACTTTCCTCCATTTCTGAAGGAACGTTTTCCAGCAGGCTCTGTGTTCCAGTTATATGTGTTGCAATAAGTTTTTAGATTCTCTGGTTACAACAAACAGTGCTGTCCAATCCTGTAGTTTGACACCATCCCCTGTTTCCTAGGAAAGATATGAAAAGAAAAGCAATCCTGCTTTTCCCAGGATTCTACTGTAAGTCTCTCATCTTTTCTTGGTTTTATCTGCTTCTCTTCAGGCAGTCTCCAGAACCTGTCAGAGAAGTAATGAATCTGGAAGTATTGTCTTCATCTCAGATGTTGCTAATTTACCTTCAAAAGTTCTGTTATTGAAATGGATGGAGCACTAGCTTTGTGGAACATAAATGGACATTTAAAGTGTTTGCAGGGAAGGCAGCAGGGCGTGTTACATGTATTACACATCTGCTTGTATCAAAATCTGAATATTGTAATTAACATCCAGTATGATGTTAATCCAGTATGAATTGGAAGTATTTCCTAGTTGAGGCTGTTGTTCTAAGGAAAGAACCACAGGTTTTTGTGAAGCTGGTCCTATTCCCAGTTCTTTATACAAATGAAACACAACATTTCTGATTTTTCTACAAAAGATACCTTTCTAACCACCAAAACAGTGGATTATCATTAGCATATCAATAGTTTAATTTTCACACCTACAGTTGTAGATTTTGGTCTGCAAAGCAATTTTTTTTAACTGTTTTTAAACAAGATGATCTTATAGAAAAGGAGCTGGAGATCAGATATATGCATGCACTTTCTCATCTATATGTTCTGTTAACCTTTTAAAATTGACTTTTTTGTTAACAGATGAAAGCTGCTGAGTTAGTGATTAGCTCTCAAACTTCCCAGCAGGAATTTATGTCCGAGTACATTTTATTTAACTACTTTTAAAGCCCAATGCTGTGCAGTAGCACTTTCTGAATGGCTACTGATTGTATTGCTATCTTAACTGGCCTTTTCTTTCCAGTGTGCTGTGGCTTTTAATTTTCTACAGTTTGGGTTGATTATATTATATTGAAGTTTTAGGGCCAGGAGCCATATTAACTTCTTACTAATATAAAACACTCACTACACCTATGCATTCCTAAAATAATGTTCTTTTTGGCCTTCTTATGTGAGAGGCACTTTGAAAAACTATACCTATTTTTTCTTCCAAAATCAGTATTAATTTGAGCATATACTTCTACACCAGTGCTCCATAACCTAGAATTTTCAGCGCATTTAGCTTCGGTCTAGTATTTCATCTTAAGTTAATGAAAATGTAACTTGATTTCATTCCATAAGGCATAGTGTTTAGCCAGTACCTTGAATGTGAGATTCACCACCAGTGTTAGAAAAGCAACTAGCACAGAAGAGTGCCATGCTGAATTTTAGTGAATGGTGGTTTCTTGGATGGTTTAGAAATTACCTCTTATTCCTTGATTTATATGCATCTCTTATGATTACACTAGTTGATAGTTTACCAACTAAAAGTGTGTATACTGCTTAGCTATGTCAATGTTTATTCAGTATAATTTTGTATGCATACTTTTTGCTTTTTAGCAACAGTAATAGAACTGTTAATGCTTCTTGTAGAATTTTTAATTAATTTTTCATAGGAAGCCCATTTCTGGTTACATTAAACAGGAAAAGGACAAATAACATCTGGCAAAGGGAAATCATAGCTATTGATTCCCCGACATAGCGTTAAAACAACTCACAGATATGGCTGTGAGAAAAATACAGCACTTGCTTGCTGATACGATGTATTAGTTAGCCATTTGTTGTATGTTGCTGACAGCTTTATGGATGTTTACAGTTAAAAGGATGATGCTGAAGTGCTGATACTAAGAATTGTATAGCTTTTGCCTGTAATAAAACAACCAGGATTTTGTGTAAGCTTTTTTGAAATTGCAGACATCTCTTTTTATTGTGCATCTTCTTATAAACTGCCATTTACCTCTTTTGGATAATAGAAATATCTGTTTTTTCTCTGTGGTGTATGAAGAATTAAAAAAATGTAAAAAGTTTACTTAAATAAGCTTATTATTGCCAGTGGGATTTAGACTTTGCCCTTAAGAATCAATTATTTTTTTATTTTTGAGAAGGGTTGGCGGTTCACTTGACTATCTTTCATAGATCAAGACTGATGTTTTTACTTCTGACAGAGAAACTAAGTGTTCTGCTACCTGTTGGTAGGTAAAATGGAAGTTGACATAATCAATAAATACTACTTTAACAGAAAGTAGGACTAGAAAATGTTTTTAGTTAATCTAAAATAATATTTTATTTCAGTTTATATCCTGTATTTTCAATATTGAAGTGCTAAGACAGCCTTTTACAAAATGAATGTGTGAAATTAATTTCCAGTTATTTCTCCAGTCTTGTTCCATGTATGGCTGCTCACTTTCTGTGGCTTACCTTTTAAAAGACACCTTGTAAAATTATGCATTTAAAACCTAACAGTAATGTCTCTGTCCTTCACTTGTCTAGTTGTTTTTAGATCTTGTCATTTTCTTACCCCCTTACTTATTTGTCCTGCAGCCATGCAGACTCCATCCAGGAACAAAATGAAAAGCATTTTTACCTCCACTAGTAGTGTAGAGCTAATACTCAAGCAAATGGCCGGTTCAGTTCTTTTTAGCTGTTATGTTATCAACAGCTCTTATTTTTCCATTAGTATCCATATTTCATAGTGCATGGGTTTGGTAATGCATAAGTTATGGATGACACATTTCCTGTTGCTAGTACCAGACTCTCTAGACATAAAAAATGCTGACAGGGAATTGTCCAGACTCTGACTTGTCCTTTACTGAAGCAGGCAAACCTTCTGTCCTGTTCTTGCTTATCTGAAGTCATCAATGCAGAGAGATTTCTTTCAAATATGCTATGTACTATCAAATATAGATACAATATCCATGTAGACTGTAATAGCTACCAGTAGAAATACTGGATACTAACATGAGATGTAGTGTTGGCCCTGGGAGTGGAGCCACATTATTTTTTTTTTCACTCAAATTTTCAGAATCCTCAGTGATTTACCAGTAGAGCTTCTTTAGATGCCTCAAGTTGCTATTCCTAGTACGTCAAAAGAGCTGTCACCTTTGGTAGAGCTGATTTTCACCTACCTGTTTAGCACAAAAGGTTGTTTAAAACATGCAGACTCCCTGCCTCTGCTTGCCCAGGGGAGCTGCTGTCTTGGTGGAGCTGAGGGCCTCGAGCCTGAGCCCATTTGCAGTTGGTAACATCATTTGTGCTGATGGCAAAGCCCTAGGCAGGCGTGCTTAAACCTTCCTAATTATACACTGACAACACCAAGTTCAGCGTAAGACACAAACTGACATTGTGATTCAGAAATACTGCAGTCAGCGTAGGGGGTAAATACAGGTTGTACAACTGCTTCTTTTTCAGATCATTTGCCAAGGGTGTTTCAGAAACAGCTTGAATGTGTCCTCCCTAAGAGTCTGGGATGAGGCTCCTCCCGCTCCTGCTGAGGATATGCAGAAAGAAATTAAGACTTGTGGTGAAAGGAGCGCACGTGGTCCTCACTTCTGTGCTTGTTGAGGGCAGCCCTGCTGGGATGTGATTTTTCATGAGCAGATGCAGACTCTTTTATAAATTTTGCATTAAAGAGACATTTGATAAAATGTACAAACCCTGCTTGAAGCAGATTGCTGTAGCACTGCAGTGGCAGAAATGATGAGTGCATCTGTTGCAATCCTCTTTCTATGTGGTCTCTGGCTTCTTAGATGTATATGCATCTCGGTAGCTGGGAACTGCATTGATCGTCACTCTAAAGTGAGCTAGTCATCAGAGGTAGCACTTGAATGCCTATGTCTTTAATGTAGATATCAGCCAATACCTAAATAGGTACCCATGTCAAGGAAAAAAGTCAGGATTTCCTCTCCTTAGCATAAGTATCCCCATTAGTTCTTTTCCCTGTACATATGCACAGTGTGTGTGTGGGCATCACACTAAGTCAGCACTGTCAAATCCTACTGAAGGAGAAATGGATATGAAAAAGTGAAACATCTACAATTTAAGCCTTCCAAAAGTAAAAGGTTTTACACTAATGAAAAATTCAGCACCCTCAGCGTGGAAATCTGGATAGATGCAGTGATTTTTCTCCATCACATATACTGTGAGTTTGTCATCGTTGTTGTTTATGGTTTATTCACATGTTCACACAAGATGGAAAGTGGCTGTGAATTCATTTTGCAGAAGATGCCTGCACCTGCAAGACTTGCTTAAACTGCAGTCAGCTGCATTCCACATCACTGGAATAGTGTTTATGGGGAATTGGCTATAACCTGCTGGAACCAGTGTTTTAAGACTCACTTAGGATCTTGGGATGGTAAGGACATGCATATGCAGGCAGATCTGAAGCGATTCATTAATAAGACCCTCCTTTGCTTGCTGTTCAGAAGAAAAACAAAAGAAACAAACAAACAAAAAAAAAACACAACAAAACAAACAAACAAAAAACCCACATCTTTTTAATACTAGGGTGGCAAGGTTGCTTTTTACTAATTGTCTTAACTGAGTTTACTCACTTGTTTACAAGTCATGTCAAAAGGGTTAGTTTGAAAAAGAAAAGACAGTAAAAAACTTAAGACTCCATGTTTACCATAGGCAAATATTTGGTATGTATGCTAGGTGTACATTCTTGCAGCCAGTGTGTGCCAATCCATAGAACATTTCAAGTAGAGTCAAAATGGTTAGCAAACAAAAATAACCTGTAAGATTGTTACGAATTTATATGTAAAAATGTAAAATTTTGAAAATCTGAAGTCCATAGAGAATAGTGTTCTGGCTCCAACAGGGGGAATAATTACAAGTCTAATGAAGAATAAGAACAGGGGACATATATATCTTCTTGTTCTGGGTTGCTCTCGCAGCTTCCAGTTATTTTTGGCTGTATGTATTTGTGTACTAAGTAAGTGCTAGTAGTTTTCTCTCTCAGTTTTGTCCAGTTTCCCCTTTAAACATGGATGAGCTTTTACATTGTGCAGTATCATTTGCCAAAGAATTCAACAGTGTAATAAAAAGCTATTTCCTTGTATTTACTCTGAATCTGATTCTGTTAGATTCACTTGATGCTTCATAATTCTTGTTTTATGAGGGAATGTTTAATCAGTCCCCATATACTTTAATGATGCTGATATCTGCTTATACTCTCTAAGGTTCTGCTTTTTTAGGTGGTGGAGTCCTAGATTTTTGAGTTCTTGAGCAAATACCATATTATAAACTCTATAGAGGAAATGACCTCAAGTTGTGGCAGGGGAGGTTTAGGTTGGAAATCAGAAGACATTTCTTCTCAGGAAGGTTAGTCAGGCATTGGAGTGGGTTGCCCAGGGAGGTGGTGGAGTCACTGTCCTTGGGGGTTGTACTGAGTTTAAGGAAAGGTTGGACGTGGTGCTTAGTGACATGGTTTAGTGGGTGATATTGGTGGTAGGGGGATGGTTGGACCAGATGGTCTTGAAGATCTTTTCCAACCTTAATGATTCTGTGATTCTATAATATATTTTTGTTTTAAAATGTATGTTGTGTCTATATTTTAAAGCAGTGCTTGCATTAATGTTTGTTCTAATTTAAAATAATCTTAATACAGTTATAGAGTGCATTTATTTTTTTTAATCTTTTTATAGTTTTATTAAAATATGGCTGCTCAATATATAAGCTGTATTAATTGAGATTTTAAAATACACATTGATTCATTGACAGTCTTCGCATAGGTTTGGGTAAGTAATTTCCATGAGCACGTTTTTTTATTTAAATACTGGCATGATCCAGAGTTGTAAAAGTGATAAAAACATATAGTCAAGTTTTTGCTGCCTATTTTTATACAAATTTCTCATTAAACCTTGGCTTCTCTGCATTCCTCCCACTCCTGTCAGGCGCCACTTAGATTTACCAAAGCAGTGCAGAACAGGCAGTGGCCTTGGCCCCAGGAAATGTGTTCAAAGATCTGATTTAACACAATCATAAAATCAAAGTATGGTGTAGGTTGAAAGGGACCTTAAAGATCATCTAATTCCTGATCCCTGCCATTGGCAGGGACACTTCCCACCAGATCAGGTTGCCCAAAGCCCCATCCAGCCTAGCCTTGAACACCTCCAGGGGTGGGGCATCCATAGCTTCTCTGGGCAACGTGTGCCAGTGCCTCACCACCTCCGAGTGAAAAATTTCTTCCTAATATCTAATCTGAATCTCCACTGCTTTAGTTTATAGTCTTTACCCTTGTCCTATCACCACATTCCCTGACAGAATGCCTCTCCTGCTTTTTTGTAGGCTCCCTTTATGTATTGGAAGGTCTCCCTGGAGCCTTCTCTCCTGCAGGCTGAACAACCACAACTCCCTCAGACTGTCTTGATAGGAGAGGTGCTCCAGCCCTCTGACTGTCCTCTTTGCCCTCCTCTAGACTTGTTCTAGTAGATCCATGACCTCAGAGCCAAACGCTCCAGATGGAGTCTCTTGAGAGCAGAATAGAGAGGGAGAATCACCTCCCTTGCTGTGCTGGCCATGCTGCTCTTGATGCAGCTCAGGGCATGGCTGGCTTTCTGGGCTGTTGCCTTCTTGTGTTTCCAGTCACCTGGAGCCAAATACATTGCAAAGGCTTCCCCTTTCAGACCAGATTTTCAGACAGCCTTGAAGAATCAGACAATTGTAAATGTTAATCAGTTTAAACCTACTGGACTATTCAATCTTAAGTGTAGACTGCCAGACACAACCAAGAGTTTTTTGTGTGCTCTTTTGTTGTGTATAAAGGCACAATGATCTTGTTCATGTGTGAATACAGATGCATTGCTCTGCTTCTGTATTGCACGTGGACATCTTTATATTCATATGTAGCTCAGACGATTAATGGCTTTATGCTGAAAAAGATATTAGTTTCAGACTTGTCTCTCTCCAATTTGTAGGTTTTTGGCATATGAAATTATACTAATCTATAGGACTTTTCATTAACTGAATAATAGCCTAAAAAAAAAAACACACTAATTCAAATCAGACCTCCCATCTGCCGTTAATCTCATTACTGTAATTATTGTTTTTGGTTTATGTCCATAAAAATAAATACTAAAGTGCTGGGTAAAGTTGCATTCTATGCGCTGGTCAAGAATAGAACATATGGAGCTCAGCAGTGGGGCAGAATACCTCTCCAGCCTCCCATTTCAGAAGAGATGAGGGCTGTTTTGATAATGGCTTATAGCACTGTATGGTATGCTACACGATGCCAATGCCAGGATTTTTATTGTCTTCAGAAGGAAAGCATCTCAGTAATTAACATGAAATCATTTTGAGGAACTTTTAAATAATGAAAGACAGAGTGGGCAACCTGAAGCATGCACAATTCTACATTCTACAGTTGTTAGAACCATTCTGACTACTGGGTCTAGAACTCCTGTGCACCATTGCAGTTTAACTTTGTAAACTGTAAGGAGTTTATATAAGTAACTGTGAAAATGCTGAAGACTTGGAGGAAATTGTTTAAGATTTCAGCCATGATAAAGCCATTCTGTTTTTCTGGAAAACTGAAGTTTGAAAGGAAGTGAAAATTGTAAACTAAAAGGAATAATCATGTATTAATGATAAATTAAAGGTGATAAATGCTTGTTGGGAGAATAGCCTCATCTGGCATCCTTTATTTGAGGCTTTGTACTTGATTAAGTATAGTATCTTTTCATGCTATGATATTTCATATGTTGTCTTTTTCCTTTTTTAATTATATTTAATGTTGTGTACAGTGAGTCTTTTCCAAAACTGAGCAACAAATCATTTTGTTTCTTATCACATATATGCTTTCAGTCATCATGCTTTCTCTTTTGCAGAAGAGAAACATATATTCATTAGTCTAAAATTATTTAGAAACAATAAAGGCCTTTCTTCTAAAAGTATTTGTCATTACTTCAAAAGAAGTTCTTCTGAAGTTAGGGGCAGATTTCTCATTCTCAGATTCAGATCCGCTTTCGTACAAGGAGCTACCTGATAGTTTCTTATGAACACTGTTCCTCCATATGCAAATGTAATATTGATTCCTCTAAATAAGTGCCAAGACTTGGGATTGCCAGTCATTCAAGGGAAAGTTACATACCTGTTCTGACTTATGCCTTAAGGATCCTGTTTCTTTGACTACGTGTACAGGGAAACTGGAGAGAGTAGTTTCCCACATTAGACAGTCCATGTTAACCGGTGTGCATGATCTCTCACAGTGTATGCGTCTGAGTAAGAAAGGTATTTACCAGGAAGTTTGGTTTTCTGGACTGGTAGATCATAGTGATGTTTAATCTTCCTAATAAATAAATACTGCAAAATGTCCTGTAAATTGATAGTTACATCTCACTGAGCAGTGGTAGTGAAAACTTCACGGAAGCGAGAACTGGGTTATAAGCACGAAGTGCCTGTTACAATGTGCTCGTGGTAAAGGAGGGGGGCAAGGTTTGCATGCCGCCTGTTACGCATGAACAAGAGGAAGCAAAGCTCTGTGCTGTTTTAGCTTGCACTGAAACAGAGGCAAGGAAACTTTACATGTCTGAAGGCAAGGAAGATTTACATGTCTGAAAAGTATCAGGATTAAGTGCTTTGTGATGATAATTAGATTGAAAATTGCTTAAATTCAACCATCAAATGTCAGTGTTGTGTCCTGTGGTAAGTCAACAGTTGTTGCTGAATTGGTCTTCAAGTAGTACCAAATCACAGGATTTTTATTACTTGCTGGTATGTTAGTATGAGACATGTAAAACAATACGTCATTGTTATAGAAAATGAAACAATGGCTAGACAGACAGACTTCTTTAAAACTGAAGAGTTGCTTTGTAAATATAGGGATTTAATTATTTTATTTGTAAGTTGATAGGATGCAGTCACGTTGACTATTGTCCACCACTTCTTTAGTCCTTTTTGTGTTACGTGTATTGTTCTATTGCACTTCCTGAAGTGATATGACACCTAAGCTGATTAAAACACTGCATTTCAAGAAACCTAGAAAAGACTTATATAAGACTTCCAAAATGAACTGAAGTAGAATTTAGTGTGTTCTGCAGTGTTATTTGTAAAACAATAGACCAGATTTTCAAGAGAATATGTGCTCTCATGTATCAAATAGCCTCTTTTTTTTTCTGAGGCATCTAGGGTGTCTCACAGAAATAGCAACTGTGTGCACCAAATCTTAAAAATACATTGTATTCTGAAAATCTAGACCTTGTTGTGAGTGCTGAAACTCTGGAAAATATGTTTGAGTCTGAGAATGTCGTCAGTATGGAATGTAATATAGTATATTAATGAAAATGACCAAAATGTAGCATATTCTGCTCTGACCTTCCTCAGGGTGTCCTTTTTAATATGGAGGTAAGTGGCGTGGTCCATTCAGCACTGGGGACTAAGAACCTATGAAAACTCAATAAACCTTTTCATATAATTCTAGCTCCATTATTAAACATTCTTATCCCTTAACTTCATGCAGGTCAAGTATTTATACTAAAGCAATAGAGACTGCTAAAGATGCATCTTTACGTATTCTGAAATATAGCAAGTAGGTATTACTGCTATTAATCCATTCAAAGTACTCTATCATCTTGCTTTCAAGGTCACACTGTGCAGATAGAGCAGTCATGGCATGTTCTGGTTGATGGATGTATTGGGTAATTCATTTTTAATTACTATGGATTTTTCATTCTTCGTAGGTTGATGATTCCAATTGTGATGCTGAACTACTTTCCTTGCTCCTCAATGCCAAGTTAGTGGTAAAGTGCATATCTACTGCCTTCTACCCTCACCTTATTGACCACTTGCTGGCTAACCAGGAAGAAGGAGGCTGGGATGTAGAGGAAGTAGCAAAACAACTTAAAGAAGCAGGGTTCAGTGCAGAGGCAGGGTCTCTCTTGATGTCTCATCGAGGAACTCATCCTGCACTCAGGACTTTTACTACTGCTCTCCAGGCTATTCAGCATTGGATCTAAAAACATTGGATTTATAGATTTCTCTGTCTTTCTTCTGGAGATATCTACAAAAGGGAGAATTTGTTGTTCCAGTAAAGTAACAAAGTTAGCTATCATTGCCTACATTTTGCAGAAAGTTCAAACAGCACACTAACGGTGGATTCCTATATACTTGTAATGTTTAAAAAAATATATTGGTGTGGACAGTGTAATTTTGTTACATACTAGCAAAACATTGCATATGATTAAAGTTTTCATAAAGGAGAAGAATGTTAAATGATTACACTGACAATGTAAATGAAACGTTAATAATCTGACAGGTTATATACAATTTGTCTTAATTTCTGTAAGTAATTTACTTTTTGTCATAATGTAAAACTAATGTAAAAATACAAAGATATATGGAGCAAAAA